CTAGGACCGGGAGGAAGTGTACCTGAGCAGCACTAGGACCGGGAGGAGCAGACGCTGCTACCTGCGGAGCGACGCTTCACCCGCGCTGGGTTCTACAAAGTTCGGCTCAACTCGAGATTTATTAGAAGAACAATTAAGTCCAGTCGTGGTTTTAAAACCCAGACCGCTGAGCTGATCGGACCCTGGCTGTCTATGCTCGGTCCCCCCTCTGATCTTCCTGGAAACACCTGCGTGCTCAGGTGACTCACCGATGAAGAGGGAAGTCCTTGGGCTCTGAGCGGTGACAAGGTAAGGCCTCTTCTTGATCACTTCCCGCTGCGGACAGCTGAACCCGCAGCCTGTCTGTGCGGGGCTGAGGGCTCTGGGGTCCGGGTGGGTGGAGAGCAGAGAGCCGCTGCTGGAGGGTCACGTCCTCCTTCAGGTCCCTCCTTCTGCTCACACAATGAACGGACGGAGGGACGGAGGCTCCTGCAGCTCCTCTAACCGACCTCCTGCTCCAGGAGGGTCCCCTGGTCAGAGCTGCTGGTGTCACCCACAGGGAGAAGCAGTCAGGTCGCTGTTCAGGCTGCTTTCTATCTGCTGCTGGACTGATGGTGGAGAGGACACACCCATGCATGCTGGGAGCAGGTTCCCAGACATGAAGGAAATGACATTTAGTGTTCAGAGGCAGAAATCCCCCACGCTTGACCACCTTCAATGTGATTATTTATCACTTGATGATGATAAAATTTATCTAATTGAACATGGACCAAACTGCTTATTAATAATGTTCCAGTATTTTTCTGTTGTCCCTCCAGTCCTCCAGGTGGGAGCGCTACTGAAGTGGTTCCACCTATGATACCTGCTCAAATATTGGCTATAAATGCAAAAAACACAATTTAACCGTTATTTATATTCCATGTCTGGCGCCATATTCTACATTTTTAAGGCTCCTATTGGTGCCGATCACAGGGAGAGAAAACCAGAAAGGGCTCATGGTTGGTTTGAATATTGGAATAAAAAATAAACATGGACATTTATTTTATCATATAATTGTTTTGTGTTGTTCTATCAGAGCAGAACATCAGATGTACGCATCAGGTAGCCTGCAAAACGTCGGAGCTCTTCTGAAATGATGGCACTGAAGTCATTGCTGCACAGATTTGTGCTAAAATAAAAAGAGATAAAAGACATCAGCATGACCCCACAAATCTTTAATAATTAAGACTCTGTCACTCTGTTCAAGAATTAAGACCAAGTGGAACCAAACTTTCAACACGTTTTACTCAATGAGATTCACAGAAAAACACGTCAGACACACATGAGATGGTCAGACGTGTAGTTTTTATTAAATGTGGACCGACTCGGCCTCTACCAGCGTGATGAGGTAACATAGGACCTGTTGATCTGCTGTGTGTGATGCTGCACGTTAAATAGGTAAAAATCAGAGAGAAGCAGGTTTATCGAGTACAAATGTCATCGTCTGTATTTATTCCATAAGTCACAGATCAAACCAGGCAGAGTCGTGATGCTCTGATTCGTCTGCCGTGTCTCCTTGAGGGGATGCTGCATTTACCCCATTAATCATTTTTATGTAGACCAGACACTAAAAAGCCGAGCTGGCGTCCTCCCCCGACTTAATGAACGTGTCTGAGTTTAATGATTTGGTCCATTTAATAAAGTGGGAGCAGGATCAGAGCGTCCTTACACTATATAAACCTGCACAGACTTTGGAACAGTGAGGCTGGATAATTATCCAAATTAATGCAGATATTTTCTTTATATTGATGTTTAACAGTGAGACTAATCCTGCAGAAGGCCGTATAAGACTCCACTGTCACACATTATATATCCCTGTTCTCCTGACGGGGTACCGTTGTCTCCGCTGGTCGGGAGCAATAAACGGGTTTTGCATAAAAAGTCATTATTCAAAACCAACACGGTCAGAGATCCGACTTCTCAGGCTTCACGTTGGACTCCATGTTGTGCTCACGTCTGTGTCCTGTGAAACAACAGCAGGGAAGACACGAGGGAAATTATTTAGACTGTGATAATGAACCAAACTTCTGAAGAACAAACTCCTCGATGGAGCTGAACACATGTAGGTCCTCTTCCTGTCCCCACGTCGTCCAGAGCTTCTCCCTGCATCACGCCGTCCTCACCAGCAGACTGTTTGTTCTCAGAGCTGCAGGTACTGAAACCCTCCACAGTTTGGCTTGAAACCTTACAAACTTATTTTTCTTACAATTTACTGTCTATAGCCGACGATATCGAATCATCGCCCGCCTCTGAAGCGCTTACTCGATGACATGTCGAGGAGTTTTACAGACAATTGAGATCAAACTGTGTCTGTTTCAAGACGGTGTGTGTTTGTCTTTCAAAGAAGTCACAAAAAGCTGAAGCGGCACAAAACAGAAAAAGTAAAATGTCTGCAGAAAAAGTCCGACAGAGCTGCTTCAGTGTCATAAGAAGACACAGAGCAATCCTGATGAAAGTGTTGGTACCGGTTCTGTCAGTGACTGGGTGAACCACGGTCTGCGTTGTTTCCTCCAGCTCTCACATCCTCTGTGAATCACGACCACAGGAGCTCCTTCTGCACCAGAACAACAGCACAGATGCTAAATTGCAGAGTGTGCTCAGTACAAAGGGTTGGACTAATTAACTGGCATTTATTCACGCTGACGTAGTTTTAAACGCGTTGCCATCCTGTCATGGGAGCGCTGCAGCACAAAGCTCTGACAGCGACGGATACAAGAGGCTTTAACTGAAATGTGTTCATTAAAGAAGGAATAAAACAGCTTCAGTCACTGAAATAAGTTGAAACTGACAAAAATAATAATAAATAAAAATGTAATGAAAATCATAACGTTGCTTTGAATTGTGCTTCAACAGAAATATTTTAAAAATCCAGCCTGATGGGAGCCGTGAACTAACATGTAGCTGAACAACCCTCTGAGCCAATCACTGCCATCAGGTGTTTCCTGTAACTCTCAGTCAGACTCGTGCACCTGTTGACAGGTATGCTGGACCACTGCTCATCAGCAAAGGCCTCTCATTTGTCTGTGTTTTGTTTTTTTAAATTATTCTTTTCAACCACAATCCAAAAGCAACGTCTTATTTCACCAAATTATAATTTAGCAAATTTTTATTTATTATTACTTTTTTCAGTTTCTAGTTATTTGAGTGATTGATGTGCATTTAGTCTTTTCTTTAATGGAAGGTGATGAATACATGTGAGGATGACTGTGTGTTGAATTAACAGTAAATGTAAATTAAAATGAAGCAAACACTTCTTGGTGACGTTTCACAGATTACAGCATTTCTAATAGAAGCAAACAGTTGATTTACTGGAGCAACATGCAGCAATAAACCCTGTAACTGTTTTTGTGAACCCTAATGCTAATTCTTTAGTCTTGAGAAAGGCTTTAATGATATTTTAAAACACTTTAGGCCTGACTAACAGCGACATACTTTGTTTGTTTGTATATGACATATTTGTAGTATTTCCCGGTAACGCCCTGAGTCTGAAGCAAAGGTCCAGTGATTGATCGACTCTATCACGGCCAGTGTTTGCTGTAGAGTCGCTCACGTAATGCTGAGTCCTGCCATGAACAGAACTAGGTTTAGTGTCAGACAAGCGTGGAGTGAAGACCTTTCCCTTCATGTGTGTCTGCTGTGGAAATGAGCCACGGTTGGTGAGTAGTTTTAATGAGAACAAAGAGCGGCTGGCATAAGAAAACACAAATATGTGACCATGATGACGTATGTAGTTTACATAGTGTTTTTTAAAATCTGATGTAGTCCAGAGGTTAAGATTCATTGTGGTGTAATCAGTGCACACCTTCAGGAAGGAAAAAATCAAACAAGGCGTCGACTCAGTGCACGGCACAGTTTGATGGAGACTGAGGTGTTCTCATGGTGGTCGTGCTGCATCTGATTATACGAAACAACACGTTATTGATTACTGATGGTGCTGCACATCATTGAAAATGTTTATCTAAGACATTCAGATCCAAAATCTAATCATTCATAGATGATAAATGAGCACTTTCACTCTGTTTAGGTTGTTCTTCCTGATGTAAAGATGATGCTCTGTCGTCTGAACACCTTTTTTTTTTGGTCTCCGTCAGACATCACGCCCTGATGACTAACGACCTGCTCAACATTCACATGTGTGTCACAAACGTTAATCACTTTCAGAGAGTTCATAATGCTGCATCAGAGCTGAAGCATGTTGAGAATTAATCAGATATTATTTTAGAAATAAGGCATGACGAAGTTGATTCAGTAAATATCTTCTAGCGTCTGCTCCCTGTGCTTTGCTGGATGTCCTACTGAACTAAACACCTCTGGTTCAGCAGCTGTTGGTCTAAAAAAACAAAGCAGACACTTAATTGTCTAATCAGTAATATAACTGGCAGGTTAATTAGTTATGAAAACAACTATTGGTTGCTTTCCCAGTGTTCACATTTTGTTCAGTTGCTGTTCACGATGAGCTGAACGTATTTTTAATTCATGCAAATCCCCGACATCGTTCTGAACGTCGACACAAACACCACGGAGAGCCGGAGGATGTTTTCAGGGACACACATCTTTAAGCACCGAGGCTTCAGACACACGACTCCTTTATATATATATGAGTCCCAAAATTTCTTCTTTCCTTGATGCCCAGCAGCACCTTTCAGAACATCCCTGTAAACCAGAACCACTGACCAGGTGGAGAGCTGTCATGAATGCATGCTGCCTTTTTCTGGATACTTCCTGCAGGATGAGATTATTTGAACATGTTTTCTAAAACGTGATCACGGCTGTAGGTCATATAATGGTCTGTATAAGTCATATACAGTCTACACTGGTCTGACTTCAGAGGAACCGGTCTGCAGCGATGGTTCCTGAACCTGAGACGTCCTGAGCAGCAGCTTTCTGACATGTAAAACTTTATAAATGTGTTTTTATTTCTTACTCTGTAGGTTAAAGGTAGTGCACACAAAGACACAATAGCATGAACACTTAGAGCAGGGGTGTCCAGTCCTAGTCCTCGAGGGCCATAGTCCTGCATGTTTTAGATGTTTCCCTTCTTCCAACACACCTGATTCAGATGATCAGCTCATCACCAAGCTCTGCAGAAGCCTGATAACGATCCTGATCGTTTGAATCAGGTGTGTTGGAAGAAGGAAACATCTAAAACTTGCAGGATTGCGGCCCTCGAGGACCAGGATTGGACACCCCTGACTTAGAGGCTCCGTTCACAAAACACACAACCTCTGTGTCAACAAACAAACACATGAGAACCTTTGCAGCTCTCTGGCGGCGCTGTTGTCATCCTGTCCCCTACCTGTACGCTGGGAGCTGATTTTACTGTCTAGTTGTAGTTTGGTGTATGTGTGTGAGCTGCCAGATACTTCATTCCTGTGTCATTCCTCTCGCCGTCTGTCGGGTTCCTGTTTGTCGTGTTGGGACTTGTGTGGGTCTGCCGCTGCGCTGTCTGTTTTCTCTGGAACCTGTTTTCACGCCACTCGTTACGTTTTCCTGCAACCTGTTCTCCTGCTCGCTCACGCCTCAAAAATGTCGCCGCCTCGGCACCCGTCCTGTTCTTAAAGTTCCTCTCTTGGCAACGATCGAAGCCTTAAAATCGCATCTCTGTGCAGCTAAACTACACATTTAGGAGGTTTTTCCCCAAGAAGCTAATCCCTTTATGCCTTCAAATTGCTTAGATGTAGCTGTATACTTCAGTGTGCTCAGATGTATGAATATGCTAATCAGGCCCTACCTCGCTGTGCACTAAGCCCTGTGCTGCTCGCCTGCAGCTCCAGCTGCCCCCTCACCTTCCACTTCGCTCAAACGCTCCATGTTCTGGAGGCTGTTGTTTGATAAACTGCAATTTTAAGGTGGAAATGCTCAGACGTGGTGTTATTTCACTCATGATATGTCAAAACACCTCATGGACGTGTTAGCAAAGATCAAAACTTGATTTTTATGGGAGTGGATCTTCAAGAAGGCACCAACTAGAACTAATTCACTCACAGATAAAGCCAGATTCATGACAGTGAATGAATTCAGAAGAGACACGTTGAGGTTTTTCTGGAGCCATATGATGCTGCTTCATGCAGCGGCTCTGCTCATGTGATGGTGCTACAGAGGAACATGAACTCACTCTGGAATCTAATGATTAACAGGCAGGTAAACTGTAAACCCCTAAAGCGGGCAGTGGTCTGGCAGGAATGCTGTCCTGTGTGTCCTGCAGCCTTTAAACCTCTTCTGCTTTTTATTCTCTAGTTTCTCCTGCAGGTATGTGTTCCAGTCGGGGTTTATGCGGCGGCAACAGCCGCTCCAACAGGAACTCCGAGTCCTCCGGCTCTGGCGCCCACTACGCCCTGTGCGCTCTGGGAGTGGGTCTCATCGCCCTGGGCATCGTTATGATCGTGTGGACTGTGATCCCCATGGACGGGGAGGGTAAAAACACGGCCACGTCGGGTAACTCCACCACAGTGCCCGGGAGCAACGAGGACGACGACGAGTCGGACCACACGAAGTCGTCGTCGTCGGTGGCGATGGTGCTGGTTGGAGTCGGGGCGGCCATGTTGCTCTTGTCCATTTGCCTCGGCGTGAGGAGCAAGAGGAGGGCGCGCAACAGAAGCAACCAGCCGGCAGCAGGAGCGGCCGGCTTCATGGACCACGTGCAGGGAGAGCAGGAGTGAGTGATGACTTCTGGTTGTTTGTAACCCGGATGTGTTCAACGTACAACTATCTGGAACTGTGTGATACGAGTTACTGATTTCCAAACTTTAATATTGCAAAATTTATTTTAGTAGTAACACTGATTAAGTTGCTAAAAGTGGGCTGCAGATGGATCAGTGGTCAGCACTGTCGCCTCACAGCTAGAAGGTCGCCGGTAGGCGTCCCGGTGAGGACACTCGGGATCTTCCTGCGTGGAGTCTCCATGTTCTCCCCGTGCAGCGTGGGTTCTCTCCGGGTTCTCCGGCTTCCTCCCACAGTCCAGAAACATGCTGAGGTTAATTGGTGATTGTAAATTGTCCGTAGGTGTGAATGTGAGTGTGCTTGGTTGTCTGTCTCTAAGTGTAGCCCTGTGATAGACTGGTTACCTGTCCAGGTGAACCTGCCTTCACCCTGAGTCAGCTGGGATAGACTCCGCCCCCCATGACCCTAGTAATAGCCATAATGGATGGATGGATTTAATCTCTGACCAGCAGGTTCGACTCCAGAACCTACCTGTTATGAGGCAGCAGTGCTGACTACTGGGCCTCTGCGCTGCCCCAAATCCACACAAATAACTTTTAAAAAAAACCTGAAAAATATAATGAAAAGAAATGCTTCGCTCATACACCATGTAGCGGGTCAGTCTATCGAAGCAGGAAGGTTTCTAGATTTTATAGAGAAAAAAATCACAGAATCTCTTCAAATCTTGAACCCAGACTGATATAAATGGACGTGTTCTGGGTTTTACTTCTTGTACTGATGGGACTAAACAGCTATGGCTGCCTTTAGAGCAGCTCTAGTTGTTGTAGCATCATTTGATGGTGATGTGGACCTGCTGACAGGCACTTCACACATTAAACAGCAGCGCAGCATCATGCTAATCACAGAAATAATCCTCAATAAGTTCCTGATGTAACATAACACAGTGCTAAAGTAGTTAACATGGCTGCAGTCAGTGCTTTTGTTATGATGCACCAAATGATGGACTTGAAAGGGCTTGTTGGTAGTGATGAACCCACAAAGAATTAGCACCACACCTCGGCTCCATGCAGCTTCTCAGCCTCCTTAATCTTCTGGTTTTGGTTTTGTGGCTCCCAGCTTCACCGTCCCGCCTCACATCAGAATAGTTTTGAGCCGCAGCCGAGAACCTGATAAACCCTCTGTACACAAGCTGCTGAGCAACAAGCAGCAGACACCTGTGGCAGGTAACGGGGAACATGGTCGGATATCTAGAAGCTCAGGAGCCAGATGGTTCACTCAGGAGCTGATGGAGACCAAAGCAGAGCTGAAAGGGTGCAAGTGTTGGATTGATCAGAGGTGAACTACAAAGAAGGATTAAGGAGTCAAAGGGGTTCGTTGGTCCTAAATGTAGAGTTTTCAGTGACACCAAGGTGGCTCCAGGCTGACGGATGCTGCTCAGCTGACCTTCTCTGGAGGAGGTTCTGTTCACAGTTTTGGATTTAAATCAGCTGTACGATGCTTACTCCAACTCCGGTCCTTGTGAGCTGCTGTCCTGCAGGTTTTAGATGTTTCTGCAACACACCTGACTCACATTAATGGATCATTTACAGACTTGTGTAGAACTTGACAACAAGCTGCTGGAGATCCATTCATGTGAGTCAGGTGTGTTGCAGAAACATCTAAAACCTGCAGGACAGGAGCTCACGAGGAGATCCCTGGTATATGCATTCAGTCAGGGAGGCAACGGGTTTTATGTCTGGTCCTGATCTGCTGACGAGTCCATTTACGCTGCTGGGTTGCAGCCAATAAAACATAGATTAGAAAATCGATTCGTCTAGCGGTATTAATTACTGAGAACTTTCAATTAAAAACGTCATTCTGATGTGATCAAAGACTGAAGGGATTTTAAGCTGAATGCGATGCTCGAGAACCGTGTTTAAGTTTAAAGTTCTGGAGCTCCAGTGTGCACTGAGTGACAAAATGAATATATGAACTTACATGAGTAATCATTTTCCACCAGCATTTCTCTCGTTTGCAGTATTATTACCTGAATAAGTTTAATAATCTTTACAGTGTTCCATTAAAACAACCTTTGGATGGAAACAGCTGCTGCAAAGGGTCACATGATGCCCTTTTTGTATGCGTGTCCAGATTCTGGTTAAGAAAACCCGGGTTTGTGACGCCCATAACTTCTGATGAGTGTCTCAGGTTTTGTCAAGCCGGCTAACAAAGAGCCCGGCTCTGTTGAACCTGATTAATGCACGTCCCTCTGCTGGACACAAACACATGAATCTGAACTTATCACCAGTTTTCTTACTCGTTCTGTTTAGTGGTTTGCTTCTTCCTTTTGCTTTATGTGCTTCATCATGTCGTGTGTTCTGCTGACACTGGTTTCTCACTGAGGGTCACCTCTTGCCTCCCTGTCCAGAGCTGAAGAGCAGCCCACGTACAACGTGCCGAGCTACGAGGAGGTGGTGGGCAGCGGCGACTACCCCGTCCGTCACAGCAACCTTCGCCAGAGCACCTCGCAGCTGCCGTCCTACGAGGACATCATAGCCGCCGTGGAGAACGAGGGAGCAGAGCCCAGCAGCAACGCCACCGAGGACACGCCTCTCAGCGAATCCACGCCACAGCCCGCCGCCGAGCCTCAACCAGAACCGGCCGCCCTGGCGCCCAACCCCAGCCTGCCCACCCGCAGCAGCAGCCGGGCCAGCCGCTTACTGCGGCCCCTCCGGGTCAGGAGGATCAAGTCGGACAAGCTGCACCTGAAGGACTTCCGCCTCCAGATCCGCAGCCCCACACAGAACCCAGTGAACATCGAGCCCATCACGCCGCCTCCGCAGTACGACAACAAGATGCCCGAGTTACAGTAACGCCTC